ATATATATATATATATATATATATATATATATATATTAACAGACATACATGTGTTATTATCTTATCCATCGACCTCCATTTATTAAATATCAAAATGACAAATAAGATTGTGTCTCATGTTCTTATTTAGTCTTCCACTAGAGTAAACGATATATATGCTCTTGTTTTTTAACAATAAAATATCATTTCCAAAAATTTGATGAAGAAATTTATATAGTCCCTCCGTTTAAAAAAAATGACTATATTTCCTTTTTAGTCTGTTTCAAAAAGAATGATTTTTTTTTTTGCAACACTTTTACTTTAAATTTCCACGCAACATATTTAAAACCACAAGATTAAAGGACATTTTGATACATTTGACATAACTTTAATTTTAAATAGAAAATTAAAAAGTTTTATTTTTCTTTTTTTAAACTCCATTCTTGATCACAATAAATTATTCTTTTTAAAACGAAAAATATTATTTACGACGGATAAAAATATATTTATCTCTTTTCCTGATAAAAAGAACACTTCTCTATGCACAATCTATAATCTTAGCCTCTTTGGGATTGACACCCAATCTGATATTGAGACTCACTGACACACACCATTACAATAATAAAATAGAATATGAAAATAATTAATGACTGAAGTAGGAGTATAAATGGACGGTTTAGATTGGATGGATTATATATTTGAATTTGTATAGATTAAAATATGTGTGACTCAGCAATAATATTAATGCACACGAAAGAAGATTAAGTTCATCAATTCACGTTTCATGAATCCAAAAATGCCAAATAAATAATTGACTTAATATATAAATATGAATTTTAATTTGTTGTTAACAGATATCAATTTTGAGTGTGCATAAATTGACCCTTAAAATTGAAGAAATCACATATAAGTTCTACATGACATAATACATGTAGGACGCCACGTAAAATACAAAAGTTTCATGTAGGGTCCACTGTAGGACGAATTTGTCTATTTGCTTAACTTTATACAAGTTTAAGTGTCAATTTGTGCACACCTACAGTTAAAGGTTATAGTTATCAACTGACGTCAAATTAAGGGTCATATTTATGTATTAAGCCCAAATAATTTAGTCATTGCGATTATGGCAAGATGTTTTAGATGGACACGTCAAATTTCAGAAATTAAAATATGTAATTAAAGTCAAGAAAATCAACATGTATTAATGTACACACAAAAAAAAAAAGATCAAATCATAAATTCAAATATCATAACCCAAAACGCTTTAATAAAAGATGCTCATGAAGAATAAGGTAATATGACTTTGATGAATACACCAAATTTTATTTCAAATGTAGTGTGGCAAATAAATTCATCAAAATTAGCATGTACTTAAAAATACACGCACACAAAAAGAGAGAGATAACTTGTGAATTCAAATTTTATAATTACCAAAATATTAATGACGTTAATCACGATAAAATAATTATTAAATCAAAACACCTTTGTTTTGCTAGATTCACCAAAACATATGAAAAACTATCAAATTCATAAATTTGATTTCATAACTCAAAACGTTAAAGTAAACAACGTTTATAAATGAGTGTTGATCAACAAATAATTTTTGATAAATCCATTAAATTTTATGTCAAACTGAATTCGTTAACCAAATGATATTAACACTTCTTAAAATATTTTTTTTTTGAAATGGGCTTTTACCCCATAATTAAGAGAGAATTATGTAGTCTCAAACCCTAAAAAAATGTTTTAAGAACAACAACAAAACAAAAAAAAACAAAAAAAAACACTAAAATCAGTAAATAAATAAATAAGGAATCTAAAAAACATAATACCCAAATCAATGTTAATCTTCAAATCAAATCTTACAACGAAATTAAATAAGAAGAATAGAAAATATTAATATATTGAATCGAAAACTTGTGGAATTGATTTGGAAGAACGTTAGAGAGAAATTGAAAAGAAGCGTAATAAGAGAGAGAAAAATCTGGGAATTTGATTAGAAAGAAAGTAACAGAGAGAAATTGATCAGCTTTAGAAAAGAGAGAGAAATTAAAAATGACATTAATATACATCCAATTACATAAATATAGGAAAATATGTAATTTATGAGAGAGAAAAAAAGATGTAAATAATGAGAGAGAAAATATTAATAATTTCATAATAATTATTTATTTTTAAAATAATGACATTTTTGAGATGTTTATTAATATTATTAAAGTATGGATATCATCAACAAATAAATTAATTTTTTTGACTAGTTAGCTAAATTTCTCCAAAAATATATCATTTAAATATGAAATGAATATAGTATTTAAATAGACTTTTTATAATATAATCTATAGCTACTAATTAGGATTGTTCAAAATCAAACAGGAATCGGTAATTCGAATTGAAAAAAGTTATTAATTTATTAATAATGGTTATTGATTTAGCAATTTGAATAACAATTTTGATTGTTTTTGTTGTCGAAATATCGATTCTTAACGGTTTGAGATTTTTTTCTTAACGAGTTAACGAATAGTAAATTCCATAATTATATTTATCTCATTTCTATATAAAGTCCTTGACAATTAGATGTAGTTTCTTACATTTATTTCAGATTGTCTCAAACTCTTGATTATTCTACTATGTAAAAGTATTTGCTTTTGAAAAAAATGCAATTTGATTTATTTGATTTGTCACCTTGTTTCTAAGTAATTTTTTAATAATTAATCTTAACGGTCAAAGCAATAATGATCAATACTGATAAATCGATAATCGAATTGACTTAATGATTCTAGAACCATTTATCATCTCTACAAACTGATAATCAATACAAACCAATAAATTTTAAAATCAAACCGAACAGATACACAGAAAAAAGAAAAAGAAAAAAACAAATAAAAGACATGTGTCTCTATTATTATTCTACTATATAAAACCTAACTAGTAATTACTAGTGTTTGTTCTATGATAAAAAAAAGTGTCACTCTCACTACTGTTTTGCTAATCTTCAACAGAAACTTTCACTGATTGAGCTTCATCCTTGTTGCTGTAACAAAAAATGGAATTCAAGCCAACAGAAATCAGCATTTCCAAGATGTTTGGAGGTTACAACAAGAGATACAAACACTATAGCCCAACTCTTGGATGTTCTATGAATTTCCATATCTTTTTTCCTCCTTCTTCTTCCCCTTCTCTCAAATTCCCTGTAAGTTCCATCTTTTTCAAGAATCCATTTCATGGTTTTGCTTAAATTATCCATTAATTTGATTATCATCTAGGTTTTATGGGTTTTGTTCATTTTTTTCAAGAACCCATTTCAGAATTGTACTTACATGTCTCAAATTTATTATGCTCTAGGTTTTATGGGTTTATTCTAGAACCCATTTCAGAATTTTTCTTATAGAACCCATTAATTTTGTTATCCTTTATGTTTTATGGGTTTCAAGTACTATTTTTTTTTTCTTTTTGGGTTTGAGTTTTTGATTTCTTTGTTAATTTGTTGGTTCAGTGAACTTATGTGGATGATCTGTTCTTGTTACCTTATCAAGTTAATCTTTTTTAGTTTGTTCTTAGCCCTTTATTGGAATGCAATTGATCAGAACAGGTGCAATTGATATAAAGGAATTTGTTTGACCGATCCCCGTTAGCTTGGATTGACGCGTAGTTAATTGATTTTTGATAATTTTATGTGATCTTAAGAATTTTTCACTTGGATGAATTTGACATGTTTTCTCCAAGCAGAGGGTCTATGGAAACAACCTCTCTATCTCTACAAGGCAGGGGTAAGGTTTGCGTACACACTTCCCTCCCCAGACCCCATTTGTTAGGATTACATTGGGTATGTTGTTTTTGTTGAATTTGTTAAGTGGTAGGAGAGTATTTTTGATTTCTTATGCAGTGTTGGGTAAATTTTGATGGACTTTTTTTGTAATGGTACATGAGTATTGATATTGGTTAGCTGTGTGAATTACTAATGCTGCAATGGATGCACCAATTGTTAGGTGCTTTACTGGCTCTCCGGCTTAACGTGCACGGATGAGAACTTTATAGCTAAATCTGGTGCTCAACGTGCTGCTTCTAGTGAGGGCGTGGCATTGATTGTCCCAGATACATCTCCAAGTAAGTATCTTTTTGTTTTGCGTTTTCTGTAAATGCCGTGTGGCTGTATTTTGTAATGTCATTCATTAGATATGGTTGGGCCCAAGGGGTGGTCTTACTGAGTATACTCCATGTAGTCATATGAGCTGGACTTTTACTGCCGGGACTAACCGACTAGCAGACTATGTAATGCAATCACATTGATCTTATTAGCTGACCAGGAAAATCCAGATTTAGTTGATGGGGCTGCAATATCTCACATATATATATGTGTGTGTGTGTGTGTGTGTGTGTGTTGTGTTATGTGTGCGCACGCACATGTGTGTAGCTGAAATAGCAAATTATTGGATGATAATTTTCTTTAATCAAACTAGTCTTGTTTTTAGTTCCTTTTGTTAACACATCTATGAATCTAACTGAATATTGTCTTGTCCTATTACAGGAGGCCTAAATGTGGAAGGAGAGTCAGACAGCTGGGATTTTGGAGTAGGTACGTCAAATACTGTATGCCTCTTCGCACTAAGTAATGTTGAACTTGATGATTGATCAGGGAAGTGTCAACTGTGTACTTGTACAGAATTTGACATGTATACGACCACATGGCCCATGTGGGAGTTTAAGGGCTTCCCTTTATGTTTCTACATGTCTGCTCTATATGTTTTCCCTTGATGAATCAGTGGTGGTTATATGTCGCTGCCATCTATTAGAGCTCCACTGATATGATTTATATGCTTCCAATTTCTGATTCTTCCGTTCCTTATGCGAAGTCAAGACAAAAGAAAGAAAAGAAATACTACTAGAAACTTACAATAAAGGCTCGTCTCAGCAGGGGCAGATGTCCCGGTCATATCAGCTTCCATTTATCACTCCAGTAAAATGTCCTACTACCATTTTGTACACTCATGGAGACTCGATTGATTCATCAAAGCAGGCCCTAATACCCTGGTAAATCTCCAAAAACTAACAACATAAGCTGAATCAACTGGTTTAGTCGTCCAGTCTTCTGCTCATGTTTAGCTTTAATCGCCTTGCTCCATAAGCTTGATGGTCTTGAGGGTATCTCCAAAACGACTTCAGTTCGAGTGCTTTACTGTGATGCTTTAAGTTTTTAATCCCCAATCCACCTTGAGCTCTGTTGAGAATTACCTCCTTCCACTTGACCAGATGGTCTTGCCACTAAAGCTTCCTTCTTATGATGTCCAACCTTTGAATAACTCCCACAGGAAGGGGAGAAAGGACATCATATAGGTTGACAAAGAATCTATTACTGAATATATCTGAGTGAGCCTTCCTCCCAGTGACGAGTATCGAAACTTCCCTCTTGAGCATTTTTTCTCACATTTCTCCGGTACATTGTTCCAGATTCCTACATATTTTGATTTGGCCCCCAATGACATGCCAAGATATGAAGTAGGTAGAGACCCCACTTCTCTCCCCAAAAACATTACCAAGGCCTCCATTTTTGTAACTTCATTAATTGGGAAAATCTGACTCTTTTGCCAACTAATATGCAGCCAATAACATCTTCAAAGAGCACCAAAATAATTCTCAAAATTCTCAGTTGCTCCACCTCTGCATCCCAAAAGATCAACGTGTCATCAACATATTGCTACCTCAAAGCTATTAATCCACTCATTGTTTAGCATTTTTAACCATGATGTGAAAACCTTCATGGGAATTATGAAAAGAAAAGGAGACAAAAGGTCACCCTGCCCAAGACTTCTTTGAGACCTCTTTGAGCTATCTTTGAGTAGGAAAGAAACCTCCTTAGGAACCATTAATTATTACTGAGAATCTGACAGTAGATATATGAAGTTTCATTTACTTGATCCATTTCACTCCAAATCCCACTAGTTGTAACATGTTTAATAAGAAATTTCAATTCACATGATCATATTCATATGCTTTTTCAATATCTAACTTGCAAAGAATTCCAGGCTTCTTCTGGTTCTATCTTGAGTTCACTGCTTCATAAGCTATAGCAGATGACATCCATTATTTCCCTCTCTTTAATGACGGCCATATGTTGGGCATCTACCTATTTTCCATTACCCTTTTCAACCTGTTGACCAGAACCTTTGCAATGATCTTGAAAATACTGCCTATAAAACTTAAGAGGTTTGAAATTCCTCAATTCTTTTGCACCATTTTTCTAGGGATCAAGGCAATGTAAGTTGCATTGAGACTCCTCTCAAAGAAATCACGAGAGTGAAAGTTATAGTACACCTCCATAATGTCCTGCTTGAACACCTCCCGACAATTGGTAAAGAATCCCATTGTAAAGCCATCAAGACCTGGAGCCTTATCTATAACAAACATTTTTAGATGCCCCAAAACTTCTTGTTCTTCAAATCTGATCTGAAAGAGATCCTTTTCCTCCTCAGAAACTGCTGGACAGTTCCCAAAATTGCTTGTTGGTTTCCATTGTTCAGTCACGATATAGAGTTTATTTTTGTAGAAGTCCAAAATCTCATTCTTGATTCTCTGAGGATCTGAAATTAATTCATCCTTCATCACTAAGTGATCAATGTTGTACATCTTTTGTGGGAATAAGCAGTTTTATGAAAAAAGTTTGTATTTATGTCTCTTTCCTTCACCCAGATGGCCCCTGATCTCTGCCCCCAGGCCACTTCCTTATCCTTTAGAAGTTCTTCATACTTCATCAGCAAAGATGCCTTCTCCACCCTTTTTCCCCTCAGTTAAATTTCTGTTTGGCAGTACTCTGTCAAAGCTTTTATTTTATAAGCTAAAATGTAATCAACTTTTCCCAAAAAATCAAATGATGTGCACCAACTATTAATCATGACCCTGAAATGCCTAAATGAATGGTGTTAGTCTTGGCGAACATAGTGATATTGACCATCAGGCAATATTCGATGAACACTATATTTCAAGGCCAAATGAAGTCTGTCAACAAAATTCATGAAAATCAGCATGTACTAATACAAAAAAAGAATCAAATTCATGAACCTGATAAGACTAAATAAACAACAATAGTAATGGCGAACATGGTGAGTATTGATAAGATGGCTTTTCCCGGATGAAATGAAAATTGGATTCATGTAACCGGAGAAAGATTTCCCATTCCTTAGCCAGAAAGATCTGTGGCCATGAAAGAGGGATTAAGTGGAACAGAATTGACTGGGTGGTAGAGTCGTGGAAATGCTTGTTTCTTCCATATTTTGGGCCTTAGCTCCATGGAAGAATATGCCAAGATATTTTCGTCGGACTCACCACATTTAAAGCCAAGTGGAATTCGTAAACAAACCTAAGGAAAATCAACTTGTACTAAAAAACATAAAACTAATAAAATTCATGATTTTTGGGTTTCATGACCCTGGTACGCCTAAATGAACGATGCTAGTCGTGGCGAACATGATGAATATTGATCATCCGGCCATTTTTGTAGGGCACACACCAAACGGAGTTCGTCAACAATATTTAGGAAAATCAGTATGTATTAGTTATTACATATGAAAAGTTATCAAATTTATGATTCCGGGTATCGTAATTGCCTAAATGAACGACATTGTTCATGGCGAACATGGTGAGTATTGATCACCTCATTTTCGAAGGACACTAAATTTCAGGCCAAACTGAGTCCGTCGACAAATTTCTGAAAAATTGGCAAGTAGTAACACACGTAGTATACACATTCACGGATCCGGATGTCATGAGTCATGACCCTGAAACGCCTAAATGAACGATGTTAATCATGGCAAACATGATGAGTATTAATTACCATTCTATTTCCGATGGACAAACCAAATTCCAGACCAATTAGCATGTGCTAATAGACATGAAAAGTAATCAGATTCATGAACTCGGGTTACATGACCCTCAAATGCCTAAATGAACGACGTTAGTCATGGCAAACATGATGAGTATTCATCATCAGACCATTTTTGGTGGACACACCAAATTTCAGGCCAAACATAGTCTGTCAACAAAATTCAGGAAAGCACTATGTACTATTTAATTTCTCATATACTTATCTTTTTCCGAAGGTATGGGTTATTCACAGTGCCACCTAAGTTCATGATAACTCTTATCTGAGATGCTTGTCTAAGTTCCTATAAGCAGAATTTGACAACATATGATGCCTTTTAAAATTTTCTTTTGGTAGGTGCTGGTTTCTATCTAAATGCAACACAAGAGAAATGGAAGAACTGGAAGATGTATGACTATGTGGTCAAAGAATTGCCGACACTTCTTCATGAAAACTTTCCTGAACTTGATACATCGCGAGCATCTATCTTTGGTCACTCTATGGGTGGGCATGGAGCACTGACAATCTACCTGAAAAACCTGGATAAGTATAAGGTATTTCTCTATGAAACTTATGTCTCATTGTCTCTACACACAGACTAAAACCTAGCCTGCTCCGAGTCCGAAGCTTGGAATATTGAACATTGATGCATTGTCATCTCTTTAAAGCTTATTAAGAGCTTTATTTTCCATTTGAATTCATGTGAATAATCACAAGCGTTATTTTGCGTATTCTTGACAGTCAGTATCAGCCTTTGCTCCTATTGCAAATCCCGTTAACTGTCCCTGGGGCCTGAAGGCTTTTACAAACTACTTGGGTGAAAATAAAGCTGATTGGGAGGTATGTTCTTCAAGTGACTGCTGCATAAAACTAAAAATTTTGGAGGTTTCTTCATCTTATCGATATTTTAACTTCTCTTTATGCAGGAATATGACGCCACTTGCCTTGTATCAAAATATAATGATGTCTCTGCTACCATTCTTATTGATCAGGTACAGATCAATCTCTTGTTTGGTAATGAAATTTCTTGAATTGTCCCTTTTGGTTATATGTTGTTAACCGTCTCTCTTCTACATATGAAGTTATCAAGAGATATGCAAGGGGGATCTAGAGTTTGAGTTACTGATTCGGCAGAACTAAGTAGCTTTGGACAAAACCTGTATTTGTGATAAATCCACTTATTATGTATAGATAAATAGTTCTAGAATCCAGAACCCATATCTCAAAAAAAAATTATCTGCATCATGAGCTTTCTGCAGTTGGCTGTAGGGTTTAATGAGTACAATTTTGCCCAAGAATAGCATCCTGGTTAGTTCTTTTTTTAGAGTCACATTTATATCTATTAAGGAAAAAAAGTTCTTCTGTGTTTGTGTAGCTTCTGTCTTTAATCTGATCTCCGCGAAGAGAGCGGGCTGTTTCTGTTTTCCTTTGTAGCTCATCATAGTTATTACAGAAACAGCTATGCCCGTCATAGTTGACGATGTGAGAACTTAGACTTGTCCTTATATGAAGTTTGATAGTCTTGGATTACAGTAGATGCTCATTTAAACAGTTATAGAGGACGTTATGCCATAGCTCATTGCTGAGAGATGTTTTGAGGCTTCTATCAGTATCCCTTGATCTAGGCCCCTTTGGAGAAATAAAAGTACAACATCCTTCAATATATGATCTTCTTTCTGCTTGCAGATATATAAAAGAGTAAATCATTAGGTGATTGTATCCTTATATTACCTATGAAGATATGACCAAATGTATTTCTCAATTTGTTAGAGCTTTTGTATTATTGTATAGGGGGAGGACGACAAATTCTATAAAGATCAACTGCTCCCACAGAAGTTTGAAGAGGCATGTAAAAAGGTTAATGTTCCTCTACTGCTGCGGCTGCAACCCGGTTATGACCACTCTTACTTCTTCATTGCCACCTTCATTGATGATCACATTCGTCATCATGCCCAAGCCCTTAACCTTTGAGTTAAGCTTCCATTTCTGTTGAAGCTTTTCTGGAGACTTGACGAGGGCGATGACTTAAGCAAGTTAGTGTTGCACTTTTGGTTTGGCAGAAAATATGTTGAGGAACTTAATGAGACTTGTAATATGAAATAAAAGTGTGTTTTCCTATCACATTATGTATGCCTTTCTTGTTACTCTTGTTATAAACTTTGGGGCTTCTTGCTTTGCTACTTATGTAAATCCATTTTGATCAGTACTAACTATCTATATTTATCTATCTTCTATATCTATTTTATATTTATATTTTTTATACTACCTTAAACGATGAACTCCTATACAAATATTAAATTTCTATAATACCCTCATTTAAAAAGTTAATAATATTAAGTTGATACCATTTCACATTTAACGGTTGTGATTTTCTCAAAGAGTTGTGACTTTTTCAAATGGTTGTGATTTTTTTGATGGGTTGTGAAATTTTCGATGAGTTGTGATTTTTTTGAATGGTTGTAATATTTCCAAACGGTTGTAATTTTTCGAAATGGTTGTGACTTTTTTGAAATGTTATACTCCCTCTGTCCCAGTTTAAGTGGTAACATTTGATCGAACACGAAATTTAAGAAATAATGAAGACTTTGAAATGTTTATCAAATTACCCTTTAAAAAAGTAAACTTATTTTTCTCTCTCCTCATAAATGTATTAGTGTACTATCTTTAAATTAAGTGGGATCAACAGGGGTAAAAGACGAATTTTACTTTTAAATACTTACATTTAAGGAAATGTGACATTCTTTTTGGGACTCACCAAAAAGGAAATGGTTCCACATAAAATGGGAAGGAGGAAGTAACTTTCTAATTAGACACAAATTAGCCCTTACTCATACTACTATTTGTTAGTAATAAATAGAGGAATTTCCTTTCACTTTTAAACTATGATTTTTTGAAATTTTCTACTCTTCTTTTTTAAAAAATCTCAAGGGTTATTGGTAACAATTGATTAAGTTCAAAATTTAACGAAATTCGAGGTACCACATAAGAAAGAGTTGGTGAATAAATTGTAACAAATCATTCATCAATTTACACTCGTATATTTTCTTTCGATTTTCACGAGTTAACAGTGACGAAAAGTTATGAGAAAGACAATAATAGTAAACAAATGTGAAAAAAGTTATTTGTTTTTTCATTTCTTATTCTTTTACCCTAAAAAAAGGAGTTACTTTCTAATTTTACTGAAACAACGGGTATCAACGTAGTCCATTGAATTATTAGGAAACTTTCATATATAGCCACTTAAAAATAGCCTAATTACTCTCAATAGCTATAGTTTGATAATTACAATTCGTAGCTACATGTTATATGGACGAGAGAGGCGAGCAAGATTGGAGAGAAGGAGAGATGAGAGAGGTGAGAGAGAGGGGGAAAGAGTTGAGAAAGGTAAATTCTATATGTATATCGGCTACATAATTGTATGTTATACATATGTATATGTATATATGGTAAGCAAGATTGGGAGAGGGAGGAGAGAGGTGATCGAGACTGGGAGAGTGAGGAGAGAGGCGAGCGAGATTGGGAGAGGGAGGAGAGAGACAAGCAAGAGGGAAGAAGTGGGAGAGAGGTGAACTGTATATTGTATATAATTGTATATTATACATATACATTTGTATATAAGGAAAGCGCGATTGGGAGAGGGAGGAGATAGGCGAGCGAGATCGGGAGAGGGAGGAGAGAGAGGTAAATTGCATATATATATATATAGGTTAAATAATTGTCTATTATACATATTTGTTATTATATTCTAGCGAATTATACATATACAAACGTGACTAATTATACAAATTCGAAGTTAGCTCACGTAATTAGTACATAATGTTAATCATGAGTGGTAATTATAAGAAACTATAGCTATTATGAGTAATTAAATAGTATAATTTTGTTTTGTTGCGTCATTTTTCCTTATTAATTTTGATGTTAAATCACTATTTCAAAAATAGATTTTCAACTTTTACTTATAATATGATAATATAGTCATGAATAATAATTTTATTTTAATAGATATGTAAGTAAAAATGAACGGATAAAGTGAAGTGTTGGTGCAAGACTCAGTTAAACGTAACACTATAATCTATATTGAATATAGAATAAACATATATTTTTGTCTTCCTTCTTCATTGGCTATGTGTTGTTTCATATATTTTTCTTTTTATATTTTTATTGAGTATGAAAATTTTTAAGTATGAATTTCCTGTTATTTTGTGTTCTTTTTAATTTGAGAAAATGTTATGTCATAAGATACATCATTTAATTTTTATAGTTAAAAAAGTTTAATATTTTATATCACGATACCACATCCATAAGATACTAGATACTTTCATTAGACAACAACTATATGATATGTACGCGGCAAAAAATAGGAGAATATTACAATTCTATAAAGAAGAGATAGAAACTTAAAGAAATGAAATATTTTTTACCAAAGGTGGTGATGTTCATATATATTTAACCATCAATCGTCATAACAATAAAAGTACTTTTTTTTGTAAAATTACTTCTCTATGATAGTCTTACTTAAATATTAATTGAGTAATAATATTTTGTAAAAGATAGATTACGTATAAACATAAAATATTAAAATACTTATGATAATTCTTTTTAGTGTCATGCACATACTAAATTTCAAGTATGAATGTTTAAGAGAAAAATTATACTTAAATGGTCATTTATGTTCATAACCTCGAGAGGAAAGACTAATAGTGACATTTTTTTTAAAACCATTTGTAATGACCTAATGAACGATACTCATAACCTTTACAAAATCTACACTCCTAGTTTAGCGATTAGGAATCGTGAAACAAGAATTCAGGATCATGAAATAGGAGACAACGCGATAAAAAAAAGTCGACTTGGCCAGATGATTAATGTAATCATAGTGACCAATGGTCACATTATGGCCTATGATCATCCAAAAACTTTTCTTTTGATGGCTCTATAAGATTCATCCCCTTGTGATTACATATTGTCAACAAAAATAACCACCAGGAGAAAATTTTGTAAACTAGTATCGACTACATTAATTTCCACTATTTAACCAAAACCAATGCCTACTGTACATCACTATATTTCAAGCATAGCAGCCAAGAAGTCTCGTGCCCCGCAGAGTCCTATGAATAATCTGTACAACTAATATACAGTTCTGCACTTCCTTCTCATACTACTACAGCAGTCTACTGGAAAGTAATCGGCTTCTGCTTCCAAGTCTGCATTCGATACCCCCCAACCCCCAGCCCAAGAGGAGAAAGAACGGTAGCTTGATAAAAGATATCATATCTCACTTGTCCTGTTATTAGCCAGCATACGGATTGTTATGTCTCAATCCCTCTTCCTCAGCCCCTCCTCTCCCACCACCAGAGCTGATATCTGACAAAGGATGGTTATGGTTCCCCTCTCGGTTCATAGGAATGGTGGCAGTAAATGCTGGTTCAAGGCTTTCATTTACGCTCTTAGTTGGCCTCTTCTGTCTTTTTGGCCTTTGTTGTTGCATGCCAATGTTTTGTGGAAACCCATCTATATCATCTTCCAATAGTGAGTTGGGTGATGCAGATTGTAGATTTTTTGGATTCTTTTGAGGCCTTGATCTTGGGGTTTGCTTGTCTGTGGAACCTTTCCTCTGCACACAGAAGATTATGAATCAAGTCAATACACTAACATGCATCAAATTTTAACTATACAATTGCGCCTGTTTGTGGTGCAACAAGAAACAAAGGAATTATAATTTCAAAAAGAGCGTAGAAGTGTACACTCCATATTTGTCATCGCGGCTGACATTTCCTTTTTTTTTTTCAAGGAAAAAAACATGGATTTCTTCTCTACGATGTCGTTTACCATGGCTTATCCAACACAAACTTGGCCACATCATGCAGATGAAGGTAATTTAAAGCAGAAAGAGTAACTAGACAACCCTAAGTCTGTGAAAAGGGTCAAATTCAAAAACAAATATTTGATTCTGAAGAAAGTGGGAAAATGATCACCTTTTTATTACTTAATTTTGCTTTCTCCGGCTCAAGGGCATCATCCCCAACAAATTCACTGTTTGTAAGATCTTCTAATGATGCATCACCATCTGCACCAATACGAATGCCTTTTGTGCCACCTTTCCTCTTTTGTCTCTCTTTAGCCTGCAAATGAACCAACACCATATTGCTCAGTTTGAAACAAGAATAAGCTGACAAAGGAAGGGTGGGAAGAGGAGGAGGAGGAGAGGGGGGGAGTTAATTCCACCTGAAGAGGAATTTCCTTCATTTTCTGCTCCAATTGTGCATCATCAATCAACAAAGAAACAACATCTTCCGGAGCCAAAAGGTCACCCTGGACATGTCCACCTGTCATGACAAGCTGCTGCACGGTGTTTTTCTGACTGGCTCTCTGCAGAATTTTTTCTTCAACCGTCTCTTTGCAGATTAAGCGATAAACAGTAACCTGCAAGTGAAATAATACCTCTTTACACAGGAGGAAAAATGATCACAGGAAGAAAGGCCATTTGCTAATTATTTATCATCATTTTCACCAGAAGAATGTAATACAGTAAACTCAAAAAAAGTTGGAATTAGGAATTTCATGAAACAAGGTAAAAGAAACACTATTGGCATGAAAGTACACACCTTTGCAGACAGATGGGTGGAGTTTTTTCTTATTGCTCATCTTAATGTCTGACCAAAGAAATGTTAGTACATCCACTACCAGATATTGATGTAATAGACGCTAGTGAATTTTGCTTTCACTCCGCATTATGGTTGTATTTCGCAAGTTGGATAATTAATATAAGTTGGGGTTTGGATTTTTAGGTTCCCCCACCTAGAAGATCAAGTGTGGGTGACACTCATAACTCGTTTTGGGTTGTGACATTTTTCTGCATAAACCAACTGATTAGCTAAACTGGCTTTGCTTAGATGCAAGCAAGTTCTCAGTCATCTTTTTTTCTTTATGAGTTCTTAAGCAGTGTTTCTAATTTCTTCCAAAAGCAGCATTGCCAGGAAAAGCTAAAACAACATCATTATGTTTAGAAATAGAATTATGTGGTCAAAAAGGAAAATGTAGAAGTTGAAAACCTACATCCTTAGTTTGACCCAGCCTATGAGCTCTATCCATTGCTTGTAAATCTAAAGTTGGATTCCAGTCACTCTCATAGAAGATGACAGTGTCAGCAGCTGTCAAGTTGATACCAAGCCCCCCTGCTCTTGTACTCAGCAAGAACACAAAGATGTCGTTCCTATGAGCCAATCAACATAAGTC